AAATTAAAATAAAGCTGTGTAAACACTTGCATTTTTACAACACTATAAGTGTGTCCCATCAGGTAATGAAAAGTTCGACATGGTCTTCACACCCACTTGAAGACTTCGGCCAAATACAGGAAATACGTCATTTAAGTAATCAAGTGGTCAAGTGTAAAGACTGCAAGTGTGGGTATTTGGACAAAGCCCACAAGTGTGTGTACAACTTTTCATTACCTGATGGGACACACTTACAGTGTTGTAAAAACGCAAGTGTTTACAGAATTTAATTTTTATTTTCAATACTTTGCTATTTAAAATCAACTTCTAAATGTCTGTTCAGTAACAGATGACACAATTTAATTTCTGGTGCAGCAATAAAACGTGTAGCACTTTGTTTTTACTTCCAAATTATATGTAATATCTTATTATTAATATGAAGTTATTTTTAACTCCATGTAGATCACAAACCTCTGAAATCGGTTGATAAATGTAAACGTTATCGTGTTTTTATCCAGAAAAAACCGCAGCTCCCCCGTTTATCTCCATTTGTTTTTAAGGCAGTCTTGCCTTCACAAACATGGCGGACGCGTCGACGTATCGCAGCAACGGCTCAACGCGGCCAATGAGGCGTCTAGGTATGTATTATGTCTATGATAGGAACTCCAAGCAGCTCCCGCACTACTCTCCATAGGAAATGAATGACTTCCGGTCTGTCGCTTGTCGCTCGTCGGAGACAGTTGCTTTGTCCAAATACCAACACTTGCGGTCTTTGCACTTGGACTCCTTTTTACCTATATGACGTATAATTTTAATTTGTGGTGCTTCTAATTAAGTGATAAAAAGCAGTTGCAAATGTTGTACAAAAATAAATATACTAATCTTTGCAGCAATAAAATGTGTAGCACTTAGTTTTACTACCAAATTATATGTAATATCTTATTATTATTAATAGTTTAACTTACATTGGAAAGGTTTCCGTGACCTCTCTTGCGATCTTGGCAAAAAGTCTCACGATTTATTTCCAGAACATGATGCATGATGGGATGCACTAAGCCTCGAATAGCGCTCCGGAGCGGTATTCGAGATAGTGTGGGTTTAGTGTGCGCTAAGGGCACTGCGCTTTGCCGTTTTTAAGCCCTGGGGCAGTCTTGTGCACTTACTTCCTGTCGCGCGCACGCGCTCTCAAGTGGCCAAGACCGCAAGTGTGGGTATTTGGACAAGGCAAGTAGTGGAAAGGGCTTAAGCGACCGCCCGACCGGATGTGATGTATTCTAAACAAAACTATGAGCGCTAGGTCAGAATTACCAATATTTTCCACTTTAACATTATTCTGTGAACACTATTTCTGTAAAATGTCGCTTTATAATAATTATGGCAGAAATAATTCTTTTATAATTATTAAATCATTATGTACATTAGGGCTGCCACTAATGGCTATTTTTATTTCGATTAATCTATCGACTAATTTATCGATTAATCGATTTATCTAAATTAATTTCCCACAAAAAAAACAACAATTGTACTTAAGAATATTTTATTACACTATATTTTATTAAACCAAATTAAATCCAAATTTCTATGAAATCCTTTTTTTAAAGCAAAAGTAAATGCAACATAGAGTGCAAGAAGCAAGTATCAATCTCATAGTCCAAATCAATGAAATCTAAGTTCAGTATTATAGTGTAAGAATTACAACATATCCATGTGTTCTAGTCTACTACTAATAAAATTATAATAAAAAAACACTTTTTAAAGGATTTACCAGAAATGTTATTTACCAGAATTTATTTAGGAGAAAAATGTAAATGAAAAAAAGAAAGAAAAAAAAAACGTTTTTTTAATAAAATCAATTAATTTTAGATGCTTTTGATTATTAAAATTTAATGGAACCATTCAAATGGAATA